TTCTTCTCTTCTTTGTAGCCGTTGATGAAGACTCCACATTCGCTCCAATCGCTCCAATCGCAGGTAAGTCTTCTTCTCCTTAGCCCCTTCTTCCTCGGCCAACTTCCCCCTCTCTCCCAATCCAACACCTTGACACCTCAACTCTCACCAGTTGTACTAAAGCCAGTTTATCCTTCCCGCTCGCCTGGATAATACCAGCTCGTCCAGTTAGAGTAACAAGTACTGCTCCAATACCGAATTGCAAGGAACCCGACCGTTCAACACTTGCTGGAGGGCATCACATCACGTGCATTCACACAGATTTCCCAAGTTGTGATATCTCACACAAAGCCCAATAAAAGATGAATGAGAACCAGGAAGTTCAACTTAATTAATTAACAAACCAGAGTAAGGAGGCACATCATAAGTCCAAATGTACAGCGCCAATCAAAGTCGCAAGTCTTCTCCCATCAATATGAGTTCCCTGGCATGGTGCTCAGCCAGCACCAACTGCCGAACATCAACAACAACGCTCAATAGGTAAGTATCACCATAACTTGCACCTCCCCCTCTCTCGTCTGCTTTCTTCTCTCTCTCCCTCCTGGTCTAGAGAACTGATCTACTCTCACTCATCATGCATGCACACTCCCTATCACACGAGGATCTACTCTGAATACTACTCACTGGTACTCCTACTACTGCTAACCCCTCTATTACTACTAACTTATGTTGGCGCAGCTATGGTTGCCTTCCCTCTCACCAGCACTCTCTTCTTCCTCGCACAGCGCTGCTCTTCATCCTAGCGCAACTTACACACATCTAGCGCACAAGTGCCACGACACTTCCACACTTCCATGCGAAGTGAGCCTCTGTCCAAATGGGAGGCTGGCCAGTCCTTTATAGTGCTGGACTGGTCTGGCGTGGCCTGCATTCAGCCTCAAGTGTGCCTGGGACTCCTGAGTATAGATTGTTGCAAAGTGTGTGTCCCAGTATCTTTTCCCAAGGTTTGCTGCTGCTTGGGCCATCGGGTCTGTCTTTTGGACTCCCGTTTTGAATCAGGACTGACTTGTGGAATTTTGACTGGACTTGGACTGTAGCCTTTTATTGATGAACAAACATGACTTTTCATCAAGGAGACATGACCCTTTCTCGGTCTCAAAAACTGTGTCCAGTACCTGTTCGTGCAGGACCTGTTATAACCCTTTCGAAATGACTTTCCATTTCATTATGGATGTGACTTTTACCTCAAGTACTTTGTCTTTTGAGTTGCTGCCCTTTGCTGTGGGGGTTTCCATTCGGGGTCTGATTCCTAAGGGCCCTTTTAACATGAATAGGAAAGCACACTTGAATGTAGTGGGTACACAACCAACTGCAACAGAAGGAGAAGCCAAGTGGAAAACAAGACTAGACACATCCACATAATTAGCAAAGCGCACAAGAATGTAGCGGAACACAACTAAGTGCAAGAGTAGGAGAAACTAAGCGCAAAACAAGACTAAACAGATCCACATGAGTAGAAAAGTACACTACAATGTAGTCGAACACATCCAGATGCAAGAGTACAAGAAACGAAGTGGCTAACAAGACGAGACACATGCTCATGAGTAGGAAAGCAAATTAGAATGTAGCGGAATACAACCAAGTGCAAAAGTAGGTGAAACCAAGCAAAAAACAAGACAAGACACCTACAAATTAGTAGGAAAGCACACTACAATGTAGCGAAATACAACCAAGTGCAAGAGTAGAAGAAAGTTCGAGAAACCAAGTTTAAAACGCGACTAGACACATGCACACAAGTAGGAAAGCACACTAGAATATAGCGGAATACAACCAGGAAGTGGAAAACAAGACTATACACGTAAACAGAAGTAGGAAAGCACACTAGAATGGAGCGGAACAAATACAGGTGAATACAACCAAGTGCAAGAGTAAGGAAAACCAAGTGAAAAACAAGACTAGACACCTACACATAAGTAGGGAAGCACACTAGAACATAGCGGAATACAACCAAGTGCAAGAGTAGGAGAAACCAAGTGGAAAAGAAAACTAGAAACATGCACAAGAGTAGGAAAGCACACTGGAATGTAGTGGAATACAACCAAGTGCAAGAGTAGGAAAAACCAAGTGGAGAACAAGACTAGACACATGCACACGAGTAGGAAAGCACATTAGAACGTAGCGGAATGCAACCAAGTGCAAGAGCAGGAGAAACCAAGTGGAAACAAGACTATACATCACACATGAGTAGGAAAGCGCACTAGAATGTAGCGGAATACAACCACGTGTAAGAGTAGGAGAAACCAAGTGGAAAACAAGACTAGAGACATGCACATGAGTAGGAAAGCACACTAGAATGTAGCGTTACACAACCAAGTGCAAGAGTAGGAGAAGCCAAGGGGAAAACAAGACTAGACACATGCACATGAGTAGGAAAGCACACTAGAATGTTGCGAAATACTACAAGAGTAGGAGAAACAAAGTGAAAAAAAGGATTATACACATGCACATGAAAGCGAAGGCACACTTGAATGTCGCGGAATACAACCAAGCACAAAATTGAGAGAAAGGATGATGAAAACTTGACAAAATACTCACTCATGACTAGTAGACGCACGAATCCAAGTAGCGATTTACTCATGAGTTAAAGAATGGACAAAACATGGAGAGGAAGATGAGGAAACACACTCACAATGCTAGTAGGAGCAGGAATCAATGTAGCGATTTCCTCGCAAAGGAAGAATGGTCAAAACACGGAGAGAAAAATAAGGAAACACACTCACAATGCTAGTAGAAGCAGGAATCAAAGTAGCGATTTACTCACAAGTGGAAGAATGTGCAAGGAATATGAGCAAGAGCGATAGATAGAAATCCAAATTGCAAAATCACAAAGTAGTTATGGTATTCATGTATCAAGCAGAGAGCACAGTGCACCAAAATACCATCCAAATAAGAGCAATAAAATGAACTCGAATGTCAATGTCAACGCTCTTTGGCCACACCAACAATGTATCCAATGTTGCTCCTACCGTCTGGTGCCCAGCGCCCAGCACGCACTACTCGACCTACCTATCCTTTCGATGTTCATGCAATCGGAGCACATCGAAGTTGAAGACCAATGTGCGAGGCGTCATCACCAATGCTGACCGCCAACATACACCAGGAACGTTTCTCTCGAGGGCACCAGGTACGTTTCTCTCGCCTACCCTTATCACTCCCTATCTCCTACCACATCAGCCTCCTACCAGAAGACCACCATCACCATCACCAGCCTGCGCCCAGCGGATCGTCTATGGCCGTCGTGTGCCTGCTGCCACCACAGCGCCCTCTCACCTCTTGCACCCGTTGTCACACTTTTTCTAGTCGGGCCTCTTCAGGCGACCAGAAAGCCAACAGGCTGTCACACAAGGTTTTTGATAATGCTTGCAATAAATAAAATAAATTAAATAATGCAAATCCCTTCCTGTTGTGTGCGGCCATGTATGTATCAGGATGTCAATTTGAAGGATTGATAACTGTGACATGATCAGCGAAGGAATACAATCATAAAGCAATGCCAAAAGAGATAATCACGACTGACTGACTCAAGGCAAAGGCAAGATGAATGAGGAAAAAGTGAGAACTCGTAATAATCTCAGAAAGCACAAGTGAGCAGACATGGTCAACACTCCTCAAAGTCCTCACTCATCCCTCTAGAATCCCATGGTCAATTTCTCATTTGACTATCTACCCGTTGTGCTTTGAACCATATCTGTGTACTCTCTGAGGTAGTGGCTTCGAGATATAGAGCCACCTGTATCCTGCAAGTTCCGAACACTTCCATCCAAGGCACATAACCCTGAAGTCGATCATAGCACAAAACTCCTCCCATAGAGTTGAAAGATAGGGTCCGGAGAAGATTCCTCGTCTGAGATACTTAAACTCTGAAGGCTCTGTCAATGCCTGATAGTCAATCTGTGTTGGCGAGATGTACCTCTTTGCCAAGTCAACCAAGTCGCCCCAGCAAGATCCATCAGTGAGAGTGAATGGCACTGGAGGCTTGGGATAATCAACGTAGAGCTTGGGTCCGAAGCTGCGGATCAACTTAGTACCGCCCTCATCTAGCTCCTTCTCCTTCTCCTCTAGGTACCTACCTGACTGCATCAATCCAGACTGAGTCAAAGTGCCTGTGAGTTTCCTTGCCCCTTTTTACATAGGGCCTCAGATCATGGACAGTGCCACCAGCGAAACTGGTAAGGATAACAAAGACTGACAAACCCTCTTGGTTGAAGCCGACAACGCTCACATAGTGATACTTGAAGGCATCATTGAAAGCTATCTTGTTGAGATTGGAGAAGACTGCCTCCGGGACTGAGAAAGACTGCACTGCACTCATGTGTTGAAGCGGTACCGAACCCGATCGCAGCTCCTTTTAGCAAGAGCACTAGCTGATTGAGGTTGATCTCAGGGTTAACTGGCGATGACCCCCGGAATAAAAGTTTGTGACTTAGTGCAAATTAATTCTAACTAACACTCCCTGGTAACTCTGATGATTGAGTGTAGTTAGGATTACGAGTAACTAACCTTTGTCCGCTTAGTAGTGAAATATCAAAATAAAATTGTTGATTGCAGCGCGGTCCTGCCAAATGGGATGCTAACACAGGATTCAAACTGCAGGGCACCAGCAGATCTGAGGTGGTCTTGTCCATGAGTGGTCATAGTTAACTTGCTTGCTAAAGGTGGCTCTCAGACTGGAAATGTTTGAGCTGTCCTCATTTGTCGTGATGGACACTGGGACTAGTCTCTGATGCTGAATGCTGATCGTGTCAAACCTTTCTCTGGTGACTCTATTCCCAAATTTCGCAGATTCCCTTAATGCCTTAATAATTCCCCTCTCTTTTTCCAATGCCTCGTCATAATATTTTTCTATTAAGACTGCCACTGGGTTCTTCTTCACCCCCTTGGGCTAATATTTTCTTTTTGACCCAGTGACTATTTTCCTAAAAAAGGGTAAGCTGATGCAAATTTTAATTTCATTTTCCCACCTTTGGCAGCCTCAACAACCTTCTTAAAGGCATCAATCTGCCCATCCTCATCTTTGAGTTTTCCAAGGGTCTTTACCATCTTTGAAATCTGGTTGATCTCAACTGAGACCTCCTCCTTAGGTTCCTGTTTATCTTTTCCCTTGATCTTTCTTGCCTTCTCGGCGGACTCTTCTCTTCTAATTGAGGTGGCTGATATCTTGTGCTTGTGATGGTAAGTCGGGCAGACCACGAAAGTCTGCTCTTGTGCAGTTTCCGGGTCTTGCAAGCTGATCCAGGATGACCCTTCATGACTGAAGAATTGGACAACCTCCATCCTGTGTAAGAACGGAGTGCCCAGAATACAGTCATGATCCAAGTCTGGTATCACAAATCCCAATAACTCGACTGACATCATCCCGACTTTAATAGGTAGATGGTCAATAAATCCTGCCACGAAGAGTTCCCCAACAATATTGCTAAGCATTTGCATCGCATGCCTATGAATAGTCAGTCCACAGGCTTCCATTGCCTTTTGAGAGATAAGTATCATCTCCTAGCAAGGTCCTGTTAACCTGACTAGGAAAGACTGATCCCAAGTAATTAATTTTCATTCTCTTATTCTCAATTAACTTCTTCAATTCCTCTCTCAACTTAAGTGTTAGTGTCATTGCCTCCTTAAAGGACAACGTCACCTCTGTTTCTTCCATCTTAGTAATCACATCAGTAATTACTGTTCCATCTTCCAATTCACTCTTAAGTAAAAATTTTCTCTTCTTCCCTTGTTCACTTCTCTTGGGTATGGTTTCTGGTTCTTGATCATCAAGGATTTCAATCAGAGCCTCCTTGGTCTTTCTTCTTTTTTTTTCCTCTATCATTTGAAGGGTTAAATGTGCATGAATGAACATTCCTCACTTCCCCAACCACCATGTCAGGTTCCATAATGAGTTCTGGGGGTAATTCACCCTCAAATGACATCATGTTAGCCGAACAAACAGGCTTGCTAGGAGAAAATACTACCAACTCAGAGGAAATTTAAGGAGCAGAATTCTCTCCTAACAAAAGTTCGCCAGGAATGATCTCATCAGTCATGTCCTCCACTAAAGAGAGAGACCGTAGAGGCAACTCAATCAAGGCAAGTGAATCATCAGACTCTTGTATGAGTCCCTTAGACAGTTCGCCTACGAAAGTATGAACATTCACATTAGTCTTTCTTTTCTTCTTTTTCTCCATCTTTTCATCATGCTTAAGGGCAAGAAGTCGCATACCTCCAGGATGTCTGGGATCTAATTTGTTCTATGAACTGTCACAAACATGACGCATTGCATCTTTTTTTGCCACCTAAAAAACCTACAACAATAAAATAAAATTCCCATGAAAATACCACTCGATTGAGTGCCAAAAAAACTCATTTCATAACCAGTCAAAATTGGTCACTTCTGTAAATTCATAAATCATAGAACAACCGAATAAGAAAATCCCAGAGGAAAAAACACCTAAAATAAAATATTTTAATCCAGCCTCTGTAGAGAATTCAAAATTTTGTTTTGATGCTGCAATAACATTGAAGTATCTCTTCATCATTCACTTGATCTTCTTTATTTAAAAAGACTACCCCACTCTTCACGTCCTCCTCCAGTGGTTTACAGTAAGTGGTAGTGTGACCGCCTTCACCACAATAATAGCAGACAAATTTCTTCTTTGGTCGCTCGTCGTACTTTCTTCTCTCTCTGTTCCCTTTTTCACAATTTCCTCCATTCTTTCTAGATCTAGAGGAATCCCCTCTTTTACCATAGGCATCATCATCATCACCGTCCTCATCATCATCACTTTCTGCCTTTTTCTTCCCTTTTTCATCCAGAGCATAACTGGCAGGCATGTAGTTGGCCATAACTCTTTGAAAAATATTTTCTGCGTTCAGATTGTTTCCTCTGCATAGACCATTCTCTGTCTCTCAATCTTTAGCCAACGTACTGATCTGATCCAGTGACCACTTCTTGTGAGAGATCGTAGGCAAGGTTCTGACAATTGCAACCATTTCATCCCATCTGAGAGGGTAATGTTGAACCTGATTGAGGACTGTCTGCCTTTAAGTGTCAGTGAAATTAGTCAGAAATATATAGCATCTCTGGGCTTCATCCAAATATGAGATTTTTCTTGCAATTCGGATAAAAGTCTGGAGAAAAACATTGAAAGTGTCATACTTAGCTCTTCTGATGTTAGTAAATCCTTGGTTATAGTTGGAATTGAATCTTTCTCAAATTTTCTTTTCATTCTTTATTTGATCTCTTCCTATGTGTGGCTCCTTCCATCAACTCTTGAACAGCCAACCTCGAGTCAGTGTCACAGTAAGATAGAAGGTGCTTAAGTCGTTGCTTGTCTGTCCAGCCACAACTGAGTCCAAACAATTCATACTCATCCAAGAAATCATTTACTTGAGGCCCTCTAAAACACGGAATTCTCTCATCTGGCCTCTTTGCTCTTACAATATCTGACCCTTCTTTTATAGCGTCAACTTTCTTTACTAGTCCCCATATAACATATACCAGAGCCTCCTCATTAGTTCCCGCAAAAGAACTCGGTCTCCCTCGTCTTGCCATCTTGACCATAGACTCTCCCTGATGCTTTCTTCTCTCTGTGTCATTTCTGTCCTCCCTTTTCTTATTTTTCAATCTCTCACTCTTCTCGCAAGGGATACATGTTCGTTTCTCTCTTCTCTTGTTTGCTCTACCCCTTTAGAATTTTGTACATAAAGAGTGTAAGCAATAATAGACTGGTAGTAATCAATGGCAATGCAATCCTTCTCAGTCTTCCAATATAATCTTCATTCAACTCTCTTTCATCATCCCTACTCAATCTTCTATTATACCCTCTCACAGTACCCCGAATCATAAAGTATCGCTTCAAGTCTATGATCTCATAATCAAATTGCATTGCTTACAAACTGTTGCTGATTCTTCTGGCAAGAGAGACTCGTTCCCTAGAAGAGTGATACAATGTCATTTCAGTAGCTCTCACTTTTACCACCTTCATTAAAGAGCTAATCTCAGTCTGGTCAGTGATAGCTCTGAAGGCTGAATCTCTCATCTGATCAAAGAAGGGTTGCAATAACTCAAGTTCATCCAAGGTAGAGAGGTTTTTGTCAGGGATCCGAAGAGTCTCTTCCACCTTGACTATCCTTCCTTCCAGTACTAACCCAAACGTTAGCTGTTCAGCCAAGCTGGGCATTGTTAACCATCATAAGCAACATCTGAAAGATAGATCTCAAGCTGGACATAGTCAGGTATTTCGAGCGTGTGTTCAAAGGTACTCAGAGGTTGTGATTTTATCAGCAAAATAGAGTCTTTCTCTCTTGCTCTACCAACCTCAGCAATAGTCTCCAGCAGAGGCATCCAATCTTTCCTGTCTTCAAATCCATCAGCAATTGAGAACTCAGGGAGCCTCTCAAATTCTCTTACTCCCACTCCCCATGTCACTTTTCTCCTGAACTTTTATAGTCACTATTTTGTTCGCTCAAGACTGACATACGCCCCTTTCAAACACTCCAAGTACTCCGCTTCCTCCTCTAGACAGGCTGATGAGTAAAACCTCACGTCCAGACTGTCAGAGTTCAGGAATTAAACCACAGGAATGTGAAACGTTATATGTCCTATCTCGTAAGTCTCATGCCTTAGGATTACAAAGGGATTATCATACCGTGTCACCTCATAAAATTTGCCCCTCACAGTAGTTATCCTTGCTACTGAGAGTATTCTTCTTGGAATCTCTTCACTTTCCATACAAAATTTATCATAGCAGACCAATTGTCTCTAAACAAGTTGATATCAGGTAAGGGAGGGGCTGGGAGTCCCTCAAAAATAGTAAATCGAGTAGATCCAATGAAACATTTATTTTTCTTTTCAAGTCTCTCTTTCTCTTTCAGTACAACTTCTTCAGCAAATCCCCAGCATCTCCCATACACTGCTTCAGTACACCTCTCTTTTGGGACAAATTCTCACATCATACGTGTCCAGGTGGATAAAGTAGAATGTCAGAATGTAGAGTCGTTCTTGTTCCCATCCGCTCTCGACCATTTCATACTTGACGACCTCATATGGGAACACTTCTTTCTTCCTTAGAGCATTCAACGATTTTATGAGTTTTTTAACCTTTTCATTGCTCGGACCTGAACCTCTACCAACTTTTGACCTTCGGTGCTCGATTTCCTCTGCTGAAATTCTCTTCGTTCTCATGGCAATACATCTATTTTTCCCACTTCAGTACCATGTTGATGATTGGTAACCAGTTGCTCCCGTCACAATAGCTGTCACGAATATGAGGAATAAAAATTGTCTCATACGTTACTGGCATTAAACCTCATTCCACTTTCTTCCTCTACTTGATTAACTCTGCCTTCTCGTCATAAAGAGATTGGATTGCAATTCCCCACAACCAGTTAAAGGCCTCACCATCGTCACAGTCTCCCTTCTTGACATAAGGACGGATATCATCGATATCTCCATCCAAGAAGCGAGTCAGCACTACGCTGATGACCGAATTGCCAGAACGGTAAACCCAACAATCCTCATACTGGTAGGTGAATATCCCTTTAGTAGTTACTTTCGAGAGTTCTTTCAATGCATCAGTAGTTAGCATTATTGATGAAGTCTCTGAGTTTTTGACTCTTCTTTTCGCTTCTTAGTGTTTCAAGGGCATCAGAGGTTCATGAGGCATACCTGAGATCAAGCCTGATTCTCTTTAAGAGTAATATCAATCTCCTCCTCCAGTCCAGTGTGGTACCTCACACAAGGGAAGATAAGTCTCAGTTAGCAACTGGAGTTTCCAAGAGAATGATGACTCAAGGAGGGATTGCAAAATCGGTCTGGAAAATTCAGAAAAATTATCAACAGTTCTCAATGCCTAATCAAAGCTCAAAGTTGTCTGCTGACCCAAGCTCGTTCCGGACACAAAAAATTTTCATGTCCCCGGCAACGACGCCATTTTTGTCGCACTTTTTCTAGTCGGGCCTCTTCCGGCGACCAGAAAGCCAACAGGCTGTCACGCAAGGTTTTTGATAATGCTCGCAATAAATAAAATAAATTATATAATGCAAATCCCTTCTTGTTGTTTGCGTCCGGCTTCGAGCGAAACCCTTCCATTGCGGTCTTCGCCGGTCCCCCGTCTTAGGAATCTTTTATTTTGATTCAGAACAGCCATGATGATGCAAATAATAAGATTAAAATTAAGTGGCCATGTATGTATCAGGATGTCAATTTGAAGGATTGAGAACTGTGACATGATCAGCAAAGGAATACAATCATAAAGCAATGCCAAAAGAGATAATAACGACTGACTGACTCAAGGCAAAGGCAAGATGAATGAGGGAAAAGTGAGAACTCATAATAATCTCATAAAGCACAAGTGAGCATACATGGTCAACACTCCTGAAAGTCCTCACTCATCCCTCTAGAATCTCATGGTCAATTTCTTATTTGACTATCTGCCCGTTGTGCTTTGAACCATGTTTGCGTACTCTCTGCGGTCGTGGCTTCGAGACATAGAGCCACCTGTACCCTGCAAGTTCCGAACACTTTCATCCAAGGCACATAACCCTGAAGTCGATCATAGCACAAAACTCCTCCCATAGAGTTGGAAGATAGGGTCTGGAGAAGATTCCTCATCTGAGATACTCAAACTCTGAAGGCTATGTCAATGCCTGATAGTCAATCTTTGCTAGCGAGATGTACCTCTTTGCCAAGTCAACCAAGTCGCCCCAGCAAGACCCATTTGTGAGAGTGAAAGGCACTGGAGGTTTGGGATAATCAACGTAGAGCTTGGGTCCGAAGCTGCGGATCAGCTTAGTACCGCCCCCATCTAGCTCCTCCTTCTCCTCTAGGTACCTACCTGGCTGCAACAGTCCAGACTGAGTCGAAGTGCCTGTGAGTTTCCTTGCCCCTCTTTACATATGGCCTCAGATCATGGACAGTGCCACCGACGAAACTGGTAAGGATAACAAAGACTGACAAACCCTCTTGGTTAAAGCCGACAATGCTGATATAGTGGTACTTGAAGGCATCATTGAAGGCTATCTTGTTGAGATTGGAGAGGACTGCCTCTGGGACTGAGAAAGTCTGCACTGCACTCATGTGCTGAAGCGGTACCGAACCCGATCGCAATTCCTTTTAGCAAGAGCACTATCTGATTGAGGTTGATCTCTGGGTTAACTGGTGATGACCCCCGGATTAAAAGTCAGTGACTGAATGCAAATTAATTGTAACTAACACTCCCTGGTAACTTTGATGATTGAGTGCAGTTAGGATTACGAGTCACTAGCCTGTGTCCGGTTAGTAGTGAAATATCAAAATAAAACTGTTGATTGCAGCGCGGTCCTGCCAAATGGGATGCTCACACATGATTCAAACTGCAGGGCACCAGCAGATCTGAGGTGGTCTTGTCCATGAGTGGTCATAGTTAACTTGCTTGCTAGAGGTGGCTCTCAGACTGGAAATGTTTGAGCTGTCCTCATTTGTCGTGATGGACACTGGGAGTAGTCTCTGATGCTGAATGAGGATATAACTCTGTGTTGATTTGTTTCCGATTGAAACCTTCGAGTAACTTGAATGACTGAATGTTGATAAAGTCTTGACTGAATACTGACTGAATACTAGTTAGATGTGGTTTGAATAACGAGTCACTGAGCACTGATCATTTAGCGCCATAAACTGAGAAGGTTACGGATTACGGAGCGACAGCTGGCCCTTAGGTAGAATTCTTCTATCCAGTCGGCTACTCCTTTCCCCGTCTTTCTTTTAAGCGCCACCGCCTCTACGTAACCACTCAAGTTGTCTCTTGCATCCAGGATATACCTGTACCCATCTGTTGATACAAGCATGACCGCGAGATCGAGATGGATCAGATGCCCCGGTCCCATCACCCGAGTAGGTCTAAGAGGTTCAAAGACACGAGCGGAGCTCCTTTCTTGGCAAATTAGGCACGTTTGACAGTAAGTGGCCACCATAGCGGCGCAATTTTTGTACGGGTCTCTTTTGATGACCGATGTCCTTCGGCTAGTCCGTCATGCATTGCTTGTATTATGTCCAACTGCCTAGACCTTCCGCACACAACTCGCCTAGGTGTCATTCCTTCTTCCTTCTTGAACAAGTGACCGTTCCTTAGGATATACTTTTCA